GTAGAGGGGTGGGGATATACAAATAAGAATTGTGTCTCAATAATTATAATTACTTATAGGAGGAAGAGACCCTCCCATTTTTTTTTTTTAGACACATACAATACAATACATAAATACTTTTTCCCTTTTTTTTTTTTTGTGTGTGTGTGTGTTTGTGTGAGATCCTGCATTAAGCTTAGAGTGAAACGCTTATTTTAATGTGCTTAGATGCCGAAAATAATCAGGGGTCTTTTTTTTTCAGCTGTTTACTTGTTACAGTTATTGTTTTTGCCCACGTTGCGAACTGCGGTGGAATGCCCTTTCATTTGATTAGGGGTTTTCTCTTTATTTTGGTGGTATTGATGTTGTTGATGTACTTTACCGGTACCTTTGCCCTTATGGGTGCCATGGCAGGCATCATTCGAAGTAGGAACACCTCCTTACGTTCTGCTTCTGGCATTGCGAGTTTTTGTAGGGAAATTCAGACTTTGGCGGCGAACCAACTGCTACAGATAATGGTGTTCATCACGGTGGTGTATCTCCTCCTGCAGTCACTTTGTGTCCCCGGCACAGTCGTGCTGAACGCCGTTGCAGGGGCGGTGTTGGGAACACCTTTGGGCGTGCCGTATTGCACGTTTATGGCAACTGCTGGCGCATCGTGTTGTTATATCCTCTCTTCTCTTATTGGGGTGCGTCTTGTGGAGCGGATGGATGGACGTTTCATGAAGGGTAAAGGGTTGGCAAAGATACGTTTGCAGGTAACTAGATACCGTGGGGATTTGTTTGTGTATCTTTTATTTCTTCGACTTACTCCAATATTACCGAATTGGCTTGTTAATTTAGCCTCCCCTGTGGTGGGTGTTCCACTGCGGGTGTTTGCACTGGCTACGTGTCTCGGTATTCTTCCACAGACATATCTTACCGTACGATTTGGTGCCTTTGCACTTAATTCCATTGGGAGAACAGGCCCTATTGTCTCCTGGTGGGATACACTCTTGTTGGTTGTTCTTGGCCTGACGATAGTTGCCGCATTTTGGCTTAAGAAACGATTTGCTGCCACGGTTGCACATGGTACTGGAGGACGGTCAATGACCATCATAGCGATCTGAGAGAGAGAGAGAGAGACATATATATCTATATATCTATATAGATGTCTCTGTGTGTGTGTGGGTGTGTGGGTGTAGGATCCTATTTTTTTTTCTTTTTTTTTGGTTTGTTTTGTGGTATTCGACTCGGTACCCCCCATCCACTCTCGCTACATGTATTTATCGTTATGTGCGCACCGCATTCCGAGCCATTTACCTTTTTTTTATTTTTTATTTTTTTGTGTGTGTTTGTGTGTTTGTGCGCGTGTGGGAAAGTTCACGGGCCGGAACAACCACACAACTTTTACACCAGAAGAGAGCGAGAGAGAGAGAGAGAGAGAGAGAGAGAGAAAAGTTACACGCATGTCGGCTCCTTCTGGTTCTCCAGACTTTGCCCCGTACGTGCCAGGGCGGGCTCCCTCACAGAGCAAACATCACCACACCGCTGCCAGCAGTAACGCGAACCGTAATTCCTGCAGCAGTTCCCTGCCGTCTATTGTCCCTTCCACAAGTCACGCCCGCGAGGCATTAGGCGGGGGGAGTTATGTAAACCCTCGCCCTCTGCAGCGAGCCACAACGACGGATCTTCTGCAGGTGATTGAGCAGCAGCGGAAGGACCTACTGGCTCGGACCGATAGCGTGAACGCCATTCAGCGAAATTTTGAGCGGTTGAGTGAAATGTACCGCGGCGACCGAGCCGAGTTGGAGAAATTGCGGGAGGAGGTGCAGCGACTCCGGGAGCGGGATGCCGCTGGCGAGAGTGAGTTGAAGGTTTACACCGCCGTGCGGGCGGAGTTGGAGTTCCTCCTGGAATCCCACAAAGAATTGCAGGAGACACGACGACAGGAACAGCAAAAATTTAAGAGCAACGCCAATGAGGCGCGGCAGCAGATGGAGAAGCAGCAGCGATTGGTTACTCAGCTGCAGGGCGAATGTGAACAGCTGTGTCGCGTCTCCACGGAGGGGGAAGAAAAGCTGAGACGCGTCACCTCGGAGCTTAAGGAACTGACTGGGGAGGTGGTGCAGTTCGCGAGGGAGGTGCGGGGCCGTGTCAACTCGATGCCCGTGGAAACTCTCACTCAAAATCACAGTCAGGAAATGAGTAGTAATGAGAGGAACATGTCGGATGCCGGGTGTACCGTTAGGGCTGCATTAACCGACGCATGGGACTCTGTTGACGCGGTGTGTGTTGCCCTGCGGAAGGCGCATGTTTCGATGGATCAAATGGCGAAGAGGCAAATAGAGAGGCACAACGTGTCATTATTGAACCTTATTCAGCAGATTGAGAGGATGGTGCGAGAGGCGGTGTCTCAGGAGGAGGCAGCGTGCCGTGAAACGATATATGCAAGACGACAATGCAGCTTACAGGAGATACACGAGCAAAATGAATGTTTACTGCGGCAGAGGGTGCAGGAGGAGCTCGTTTTGACGCGTGGTGAGGTGCAAGAGCGGGGGAAGGCACATGACAGCATTGTTTCCAACCTGGAGCGTCAGGTGGCGGATACCAAAAAACGTCTGCAGGATGCACAGGCGGAATATGAAAATTTACAGCAACGACATCAGACGGGTGTGACAACACTGAGTGAAATTTTTCAACAGCAGGCGTTGCAGTTGCGTGAGGAGATGCAAGAGTTAAAGACGCAGCATGAAAGGGAGGTAGCGACGCAACGTCGTCTGCATGAGTCCAAATTGCAGGCGTTACGTGAGCAACACATGTTGGCGTTGCAGAAACTGAAGGAGTCTTTTGTAGCAGAGTATGACACGAAGGAGTCTGTTTGGCAGGGTCGTCTAGGGAAGCTCAACGAGAAACTCACTCAATGCACGGAATGGATGCATGCCACACGCAGTGAGATGAAAAAAGTGCATGCCAGAGAGAAGACAACGTGTGATTTTCTTGACGCTTCACTCGTGGCAGCCAACCGTGCCCACGGCGAGTCGTTTCTGCGACATGAAGCAACCGTGCGCGAGGGACTGGTGGAGTTTGAGGAGGCACAACGTCTGAGCCTTGTGCGGCAGGCATCGGATGCATGCAAGACCTTTTCGGCAGCGGCCGAATGGAAGGCAGAAACGCATCGCGTTGCGTCTTTTAACGCCGTCGAGAAGGATGAGGCGACGCGGCGCTTTTTGATTTTGTTGGATGCGTGGGCGACGGCTCCCGTTGTGGAGTGCGGGCGGTCTCTGTTTGAACTGCGGCTGCAGGAGGAAAGGCGGCTTGCCGTGAAGGCGATGTGTTCTTCCCAACATGCGTCTCTGGAGGCGATGCGGCTGCAACTGCGAGAACTGCGCCGAGGGACTTTGAGCGTGTCGCAGAGTTTACATGACATGAGGCAGGAGCATTCTCGGCTATCTGGCTCAACATTAGAACTTACCCGACGACTGGAGTTGTCATGTGCGGCATCCACGTCTTTTTTTTTCCAGCAGCAGCGACAACAACAGGAGGAACGTGGAAAGACGATATTGACAATACGAGCGGTGATGCAGAAACTTATAACGGTTGAGGAGGCAGCAGAGAGCGCCTATTCGTGTGGGATATGCTTACAGGTGTGTCGCAACCCTTTGACATGTGTACCTTGTGGTCACACGTTCTGTGAGTTGTGTCTTTTGAATCATCCAAGGAATAGACATTCTACAGGAAATACCGCACAGTACTGCCCGGAGTGTGGCCTGGCGACGTGTAACATGGTGGTACGTGTACGTGCCCTCGAGACGCTCTCTGGTAACTTTAGCTTCAGGAAGAAGGGGGCGAAGGAACTGCAACGTGCGCTCGAAGCGCTGGCAACGCAGTGACAACCACTTCCCCCCTCTGTTTCAATACATGACATGCATTGCAAAACCCCATCACCGTACAGACGGAGCACATATGTACGTATAATATGTGTTGTGTTGTGTTGTGTTGTGTTGTGTTTAATCTTGTAATGTTTGATAGTTGATATGGTTATTTATTTATTTATTTATTTTTTATTTTTTTCCTTTTTTGCCTGTGAACTCTTACGGCTTGCTGGTCGGGCCAATAAATGACTATTATTTTCCCCCCGTTGATTCTGAATGCATGTCATTTCATTTCATGTATGTTTTTTATTTTTCTTCTTTCTTTTTTCTCTCTTTTTTCTTTAAATTTCTCTGCATGTCGGCCAGTTATCTGTGGTTTCATTGTTTCTCGTCTTGTGTCACCCCACGCAGCGTTAACGAGGCACCGCACGTGGCAGCAGAACAAAAAAAAGAAAAGAAAAGAAAAGAAAAGGGGTTGCTGTTTTTTTTTTTTTTTTTTTAATTTAGAGGATACGTGCCAAAACACAACAAAACAAAAAAGGGGGAGGGGTAATATTTCAGTATTTTACTCAATAATACGACATTCATTTCAAATATATACATCCATCATCTTTCAACCTTTTTTCCCCACTCCCTCTATCTGCTTATATACATTCCAATCTACACACATACACACATACACACATATATATATATTTGTGGAAGAAGAGAGGAGAGGTTTACTCGGAAGGAAAAAAACAAACAAACAAACAAACAAAAAGAAGATAAAAGAGGCGGTGTGGAATAACAGCAATAAACCAAACAACAAATAATAAATACAAAAGAAAGAAGGAAAGACATACACACACACACAGGAAGAAAAGAACAAAAAAAAAAAAGAATCTGAAGGATAGTCGTGTGCTTGTCTGCGTGCGTGAGGAGAACTTGACTGACCCACACCCACACCCATCCACATCCACACCCACACGTATATATCTATATCTATATCTATACGCACGAAGAAACAAGCAAACTAACAAAAAAGAAGTACGCACGTGAGTGTGCATCCGCAAAAAATCCCTTTTTTTTTTTGTGAATCGGTTTTTTTTTTTTTTTTTTTTTTGTGTCGCTCTCTTTTTCTCTCCCTTTATTGGTGGGAGGAGGGAGTACGTGGCGCGGCGGACGCACATGAAAGAACAGCGGCATCACCAACGCGGCAAAAAGGCGGCTGGTGATGGTGGCGGCGATGGTGAGGCGTCATTTCGGCTTCCCCGTAATTTTGTTCCCCGCCGTTACGATCTTTTTTTTGCTCCGCGCCCGGCCAAAGGCATTTTTTTTGGGGCTGCCATCGTGACGGTTGAGGTGGAGGCGCCGCTCGCATCGCCGACGCGGTGCCTGACGATGCACGCCCTCGAGCTGTCCATAGAACCCTCACACGTCTCGGTGATGCCGTCGCCGGGAAGAAGAGGGAGGCGGGACCTCTCTGGGGAGGTGGAGAAGCAGGCGGAGGAGGCGGAGCAGCTGCGGTGTGTTGCCGTGCACAGTTCTTGTGTGGATGAGACCATCACGTTGGAGTTTTCCTCCTGTTTGCCGAATGACGTGGGCGACGTGTTTGTCGTGGGCTTTTCGCACTTCACAGGCTTCATTCATGACTCAAGTGCCTCATGTGGTCTCTTCTACTCGAACAGTTACGACACGAACTTTCTCTCCACCCACCTCGAGCCGACAAACGCACGGCTTCTTTTCCCTTGCTTTGACGAGCCTTCGTACCGTGCCGTTTTTCAGCTCACGGTCGAGTTTGACAGTCGTTACACGATTGTCTCGGGGACAAGAGCGGTGCGGGAGGAACTTGTGGAGGTTGATGAGGAGATGTTTGCCGCGAGCTTTAGAGATCCCCCACTTTTTTGCTCTTGGGACGCCCTCCGATTCCTGGCGAGGGACACCAGCAACAACATAAATAGGGACAGTACAGGCGTCGGCCATGTTGTCGTGCGCGTGGATGACGGTGTGATTGCTCATGAATACGCCAATGTGAGTACGAATGACATCAACTTTGGTCCTGCACCCCATGCACCGGAGGTGAAGGGTTGCGTTGTTGTCGAAGGAGAAGAGGAGGAGGAGGAGGAGGAGAATGTTTTGAAGGCCGCAGGCCAACAAGAAGGACGATGTAATCCTCCTAAAAATTCTCGAAAAAACGATCCGCTAGTTTCCAGTTCTAATGATTCCCCTACCTGTTTTATACGTCGTGTCACCTTTGATGAGACACCAAAGCTCTCCACCTGCATTGTTGGCTTTAATACAGGGAAATTTTATATTATAGAGAGGGAAACGACTAAAAGCAAACTTCTTTGTCGCGTTATATTTCCTGCGGAAGTACAAACGAATCATGGATGGTATGCACTTGATCTTCTTACTAAGGCTGTGGCCTTTTTTGATGAATACTTTGATTTTCTTTTGCCATTGCAGAAACTTGACCTTGTCTGTCTCCGTTGTTTTAGTTTTCTTGGAATGGGGAACTGGGGAATGGTGAATATGCATTTGGACTACATGCTTGTGAATGAGTCTACCCCGCTGGAGCGACGACAGCGCATTGCTAGGCTTATTGGTCACAAGGTTGCCCACCAATGGGTTGGTGACTGGGCGACCGTTTCGTGGTGGAACTTTTTGTGGATGACGGAGGGGATTTGTCGTTGCCTTGAGTTCATGTTTGTTGACAGCGTGTTTCCAGATTGGCTTATATGGGACGAGTTCCTCACGCAGGTGCTGGACGACGCACTTGTACTGGACACACAGCCGGAGAAGACACACCCGGTGCAGTACTGCATTGCCAATCCAAGGCTTATTGAGGATTGCTTTGACTCCATCAGCTTTGGCAAAGGTGCGTCTATCATGCGGATGCTTTTTTCCCTGCTGGGGGGCGACTGCCTGCGTGCCGCCACACGGCGTTTGCTGCAACGGTGCAGCAACACTTGCTTTGATAGTCAGATGTTTCTTGACTGCCTTGTGCATGGTGAACACGAGGCAGAACGACGGGAGATGGCTGCCGCGGTGGTGCGCGGCGCGGAGGAGTCTGGGCATCCGCTGCTGTATGTGGAGCAAAAACCGGATGGGGTCTGTTGTGTCACGCAGTATCAGATGCCTGATCTACGACAGGGCATCTTGCAGACATATGTTAAACTTCAACAGGGAAAAGAAACGACGAATGCCATGGACTTAATGGCCCCACGGCGCATGCGTGTGTTTAATTGGAATGCCGAACATGTCTTACAACGATCCAATTATAACATTCATGCGAAAATTGTAGAGTTAGAGGAGATGGGGTGCTTTTTTGGGCGTACGTTTTGCATGCGGTCTTCGCAGGAGATTATTAAATGTTTCCCGGACCGGTTGATTTATTTGAACTACCGCGGGACCGGGGTACTGCGTTGTGACTATGATACCGCCACATGGCGACGTATTTTTGAAGTTGCACCTTTTCTCTCTTCACAAGATTGCATTGTGATCACCATGACGCTATTTCGGTTTCGAAACATTCATATTGGACAAGATGCTACCGATCGTATGGACCGTTGTGAGTTGTTGTTAGAGTGGTTAATGTTCATCACACAGAGCAGCGTTATGACCGCCTCCCAGTGGAGTTACATCACCCATCAAATTGAGTATATCTTTTATATGGTGCGGGATTATCCTTGTTGGGAATTATTTTCGAAATTTGTATGTTCCCTTTACACCCCACTGATACGTCGCGGTTCCCTCTCATTTGCGGCACAGGAACAAGCTGTAACTTTTGAATCCCGTCGAGATATTTCGAGGACAACGGTGCTGCACATCTTGCAAGTTCTTGCTATTTGCAATTGCCCAGTTATTCTTGATGAGTCTCGAGAACAGGTGGAACGAGCACTTGTGTCTATTATGCCACAATTTGCAAATGATTTTGCCAGGGGGACATTTACTACGCATAATTCGGTCGCATTTAACGTTTTCAATGACTCCGATGCGGTGGCGGTGAGTATTGCCATGCAATGTTTAATAGAGCACGGTGACATGAAGACGTGGTGGACACTTGCCTGCGTTGTCGCCGCCATCTTCAACATTTCACTTCAAAAGACCGCAGAGGAACTGCACCTCGATGTGGTTGAGGGAATTTACGTGGCGCACCTGGACGAGATGCATAAGAGCCGTTGGTTGAACATGATCGCCCCCGCTCTGTTTGCCTTTGACACCAGTAGTACATTGCCTTTTCTCCTATTGGTTCTGCACAACTTTAAGAGCCTTAACACCCCCATTGCAAAGGCCATCTTGCGCAACAAGCGGCTAGTAACATCTCTCTTTGAATGTACATCGTTGACTCAGTCCATGCCCCACATCACTGTTATTCGCCACCTTCTTATCATGCATGGGGCTATGCTCTGTAGCGACAGCAATCTTATTCTCCTCATGATGGCCTCCGTAGCGGGCGAGGCGGCAACAGAGCGGAGCGGCGGCGGCAGCAAGGGCAGAGGCAAACAAGAGCCTATGCGTGCAGGCGGCATGGTACGTTCACTGCCCGTCGCCAACGCCATCTTAGCAATGAAAACAAATTGCCTTTGGATGGACTACTGCTGTGACCACTACGACTCGTTTCTGTCAAAACGGTTCCGTGAGAAACAATTGACAACGACACCGTTGGGAACGCCGCGTGCATCTGTAATGGATATGGATACAATGGAGGAAGACGGGGTGAGTACATGAGGGAACAAAAAGAAAAAAACAAAAAGAAACAATCAAAAAAAAAAAAAAAAATAGTCCGTGGCTCTTCTACTCCCTCTTTTTTTTTTTGAAGGGGCACAGTTTTCTGCCTTTTCCCCCCTTTCTCTCTCTCTCTCTCTCCCCCTCTTCTAAATTCATCTCTTGAAAATCTGTTTTTGGATTTTTTTTTTGAATTTTCTTTTCTTTTTGTGTGTGTTGGTGTTCATTTATTTATTTAATTATTTTATTGTTTTCTTCATTGTTGTCGTTGTCGGTGGTGGTGGTGATTTTCATTTGTTTATGTGTTTTTTTTTTTTGTTTGTGGTGCCACTGCCTCTCTCCCTTTTTTCTCGCCCTAATTCTTTTCTTCCTTCTTTTGTAGAGAAACAACACAAAACAGAAGGAGGAGGAGGAGGAGGAGGAGGAGGACGGAGGCGTCATTTTGTTTAAGATGTCTGTCTGAAGTTGTTCTTTTCTGTGTTCTGTTTTCTGTGTGTAAATTTACAGTCTGTGGGAGGCAGTCCATGTATGCGTGCCTATATGTATGCGTGCCTATATGTATGCATGCCTATATGTATGCATGCCTATATGTATGCATGCCTATATGTATGCGTGCCTATATGTATGCATGCCTGTATGTATGCATGCCTATATGTATGCGTGCCTATATGTATGCATGCCTATATGTATGCATGCCTATATGTATGCATGCCTATATGTATGCATGCCTATATGTATGCATGCCTATATGTATGCATGCCTATATGTATGCATGCCTATATGTATGCATGCCTATATGTATGCGTGCCTATATGTATGCGTGCCTATATGTATGCATGCCTATATGTATGCATGCCTATATGTATGCATGCCTATATGTATGCGTGCCTATATGTATGCATGCCTATATGTATGCATGCCTATATGTATGCGTGCCTATATGTATGCATGCCTATATGTATGCATGCCTATATGTATGCGTGCCTATATGTATGCGTGCCTATATGTATGCATGCCTATATGTATGCATGCCTATATGTATGCATGCCTATATGTATGCATGCCTATATGTATGCATGCCTATATGTATGCATGCCTATATGTATGCGTGCCTATATGTATGCATGCCTGTATGTATGCGTGCCTATATGTATGCATGCCTATATGTATGCGTGCCTATATGTATGCATGCCTATATGTATGCATGCCTATATGTATGCATGCCTATATGTATGCGTGCCTATATGTATGCGTGCCTATATGTATGCATGCCTATATGTATGCATGCCTATATGTATGCGTGCCTATATGTATGCGTGCCTATATGTATGCATGCCTATATGTATGCATGCCTATATGTATGCATGCCTATATGTATGCGTGCCTATATGTATGCATGCCTATATGTATGCGTGCCTATATGTATGCGTGCCTATATGTATGCATGACTATATGTATGCATGCCTATATGTATGCGTGCCTATATGTATGCATGCCTGTATGTATGCGTGCCTATATGTATGCGTGCCTATATGTATGCATGCCTATATGTATGCATGCCTATATGTATGCATGCCTATATGTATGCGTGCCTATATGTATGCGTGCCTATATGTATGCATGCCTATATGTATGCATGCCTATATGTATGCGTGCCTATATGTATGCGTGCCTATATGTATGCATGCCTATATGTATGCATGCCTATATGTATGCATGCCTATATGTATGCGTGCCTATATGTATGCATGCCTATATGTATGCGTGCCTATATGTATGCGTGCCTATATGTATGCATGCCTATATGTATGCATGCCTATATGTATGCGTGCCTATATGTATGCGTGCCTATATGTATGCATGCCTATATGTATGCATGCCTATATGTATGCGTGCCTATATGTATGCGTGCCTATATGTATGCATGCCTATATGTATGCATGCCTATATGTATGCGTGCCTATATGTATGCATGCCTATATGTATGCGTGCCTATATGTATGCGTGCCTATATGCCTATATGAATGTACATGTGCGTTTGATGACTTTTTCTTCTTCTTCTTCTTCTTCTTTGTTGTTGTTGTCATTTGTGTTGTGGCCTCCGAACCGACGTTTTGTCCCACGGCAACGTAGACACACACGCACACAAACACAAACACAAACACAGAAAGAGCCCTTAAAAAAAAAAAAAGAGGGGGAAGAGTGGGTAAAAAAAAAACAAAAAAAAAAGAGAGCGTCTTCCGCGAATACATTTTTCCTCACCAAACGCAAACAAAAACTGACACGCGCACCAGGCAAGTAAAAGATACGAAGGAAAAAACAAGCAAACAAAAAAAAGAAGGAAGAAGAAAAACAAACAAACAAACAAAAAAACCAAACAAATTGACAGGAAATTACGGAATTAAACAAAACAAAACAAAACCTAAAAGAAAATATTGCTTGTGGTGGCGCAACTATCTGCACCTGAGCGTTTAAAAGGAAATTAAAATGGAAGGGAAAGTCCAAACGAGCAGGAGGGAAGTGAACCACAACATGACCGTGAGGAAGCAGGTGGAGACGTTGGGTGATGACGCCTCCGGTGCTATGGAAACTGAGGCGAATGGCGAATACGGCGAGTCAACGCGTTGTGTCAGTGGCCCTTTGCCGCTGCGACAAACGCGACTGCTGGGGATTCTGCTGCTTGTTTCAGTGGTGTTACCCCCCGTTTCGCCCACACTTGAGGAGTTGGCACGGATGTCATTCTCCTCGACCGCCACAGGCCCATTGGGCGCCGATGCGTTTCGGTCACACTCCAACGTCGACGGTACGGATGGCTGCAGTACCGTCGGGGAACTGGACACAGAGGTGCGAGGGGAACGGCTGTTCGACTACATGAGAACCGGGGTTTTCGAGGCATGGGCGTCGAAGATGACAGGGGGGGACGCATGGCGCCGACGTGACGAGGAAGAAGAGGAGGATGAGGAAGACGAAGAAAATAAAGCGGCGAGGAGTGGTGACAGTCTCAATGACGCTGCGGAAGAGGAGGGCCAAGTTGTGGACGGAAAACAGCTGCAAGACAAAACAATTGGGAGGGAAAGAAGGATACTCACAATGGGTGAAGCTCATCCACTGGCACCCGTTGAGAAGGACCGCCGCAGTACACTCAGCAGCAGCAGCATTGGCGGTAGCAGTTCCTCCACCCAATTGGCAATTGGCAGCGAATACAACTCCCTTGTCTCCACCCCGCGTAAACTCCTGCTGCCAAATGCCCTCACGGATCACCGTAGTGTTAGCGGTGACCATTGTGCCGACTCCATCGATGTTGATGATGACGTTAACAAAGAAAATGACCGCAAGGGCTTCTTTGAGGCGTTATCGGACGCCGCACTGCTGCGAATTTTCTTGTTTCTTGTCTTCCCTGATGTCGTCTCCCTGCTCGGCACCAATAAACGACTTAATGAGCTTCTACGGAAGAAATTTCAAGTGAACGAGCATGGGGTTTTCAGAATCCCTGCCTTCACTGGACGCCCGTCTCTGGCGGACCGTTATGGAGGCAACTTTGCCGGCAACAAAAACCACCACGCCAAGAACAAGAACGGCGTTTCAGGAACGATGACTAAAAATATTCGTCTGTTTTTCGGACAGCAGCGGCGTGACCCGCATCCGGCCTCGCTGCGTCATTTACTTAATTTCCTTGTCCCAGAAATTTCCATCCCGCACATGGAGTCGCATACAAACGCCTTGAACAACCGCGGGAAGGGATGCACATGGGTTTTTGTCACATCGCAGGATGACGTCAAGCGACTGATGCGATTTAACAGACTTATATTTCTTGATCTTAATGCAGACGGGAGGGAAGTTTACATGGTGGCCCCACCGCGTAGTAGGATGTGGATACAGGAATACGCGGAGAATATTGCCAGGTGGAGTACACGCCCTATTTACCTGCCGCGGCAGCCAATGGTGATTGAGGTGCCAGAGAAACCATCCATGAAGCGCAAGAGGTTAAAATGGCAGCTTCAGAACGAGAAGAACACGCAAGCCCAGCAAGTGGAGGATGGTGAGCCCATCCAGGAGAGTGAATTCGAGCAGAAGGAGCAGGAAGAACAAAAACATCATGAGGAAGTTTCCCAAATCAATGAGAAAGAAGAACAACATCAGGAGACCACACCGTTTATCTCTGAGGCCTCAGCAGAAGCGGATGGGGATTCATCCACCATTCACCTGCCGAGGGAGGAGCGCCAGGAGAGGGAGAATGCCGTCAATGAAGCTTCCTTCTCTGCCGCCTCATCACCGCGGATGACACGTGAAGGAGAGGGCGCACTGGAGAAGACATGTGAATCTTCCTTCAAACGTGAGAACAGTTTGAGGCCCTCCCAACGGAAGTGCCACAATCCTTACTCTCCGGTCTATGTATTCTACTCACACTTATACACCACTACCATCTGCCTCGGCGATGGTCGGTACCGCCACGACCCATATCTTTACAACCCACTCTGGGAGCCTGTGGAGCCGCAGATGGTGGCTCTTATAAAAGAGTAGGCGTGGACCCTTTGACAGCCTAAATAAGCAAACGCACACACACACACAAACATTGAAGAGGATAATATTATATACATATATGTATACAATATATGTATGATATATAAGGGATAAGGAATCATCGAAGAATGAACAAGGAAGGGGATGAAGGAATAATGGAAGGGGGTGCCACATAACGAGTGGCATGAAAGTATCCGGAGGAACGGATAAAGTCTACCCCCTCCCACTTTAAATTGACTCAATTACTGTGCTTTCTTGCTGAGTTTTTCCTCTTTTTCCCTTCAATAAACGGGCAAAAAAAAAAAAGGGGGAATTTGAACGTGGTAACCGAGTGTCCAAGCGTTTTCATTAATATATATATATATATATATATATATATATATTTGTGTGTGTGTGTGTGTGTATGTGTGCTTTGAATTATTATTATTTATTTTGGCGTTTTTTTTTGTTTTGATTTTGTTGAGAAAATTGTGGAACGTTTGTGTGACCCAATGGAGCCAAGCGGGTGTTGGTTTGGCTTGTTTAGCCGCTCTGCTTCCTTTTATTATTGACTTTTATTTCCCATCGATACCACGCCGGGGAGGCAGCGAGTGCCGTTCCTTTTATTTCGTTGCCTCTCCCTGCTGCCGTCCTCCCTCACCACGTGGGAGGGGGAGGCTGGCGGTTGCGGGTTTTTTTTTTCAAAGACTGCCACCCCGTGACTTTGCAACGAGAGATCCCGGCTGCTGGTGGCGTATGCCTTTTGCATGCGTGCGTTTTAATGGTAGTGTATGCATGCGCGGTGAATCCTCTCTGAGGTGTGTGTTTTGTAGGGGATGTTGTCTCTTTTTTTTTTTTTTTTTTTTTTTCTGTAGGAATAGGGGGGTCAGGGCCGCAGTCATGCGTGCATTTTTTGGTATAATTCCACGAATGTGCGTTTAGATATATATATATATATTTGTTTTTTTTTTTTCTTTCTTTCTTTCTTTTGCTTTTGTTTTTGCGTGCATCTGTCTGTTTGGGTGCGTGTATATATACATATATACATGTATATGTCTGTGTGTGTGTGTGTGTTTGATATGCAGAATTGAGGGAAATTAATATGAAATCATTGAAGTCAACCACAACAACCACGGAAGAAAAAAAAAAAAAAAGAAGGGGAAAAAAGGAGTTTTCATTGCTGTTGGTTTTTTTTTTCTCTTTTCTCTTTTCTTTATATATCTTTATATCTATTTATTTATTTATTAGTTGTATTTGTGTGCCTTTGCGTACGCATAACATATTTTTTTTTTTTTTTACATGGACTTTTTTGTGTGTGTAATTTTTGTTGTATTTTATTAGGAAAAGAAAAGAAAAAAGAAGTTTTTTTGTGTGTTTGTGTGTTTGTGTGTTTGTGTACGTGTGGGATGCGGGAATGAAATAAAAAAACAATGAGAAAGAGAGGGAAAGAGAGGGAGGGAGGGAGGGAGCAATGGCTCACGATTACTTCTTTACACCGAACACCGGTAAATGAGATGTTTTATCATACATGTGCATACATGCATGTACGATGGAGCCATGTTGTTGTTGTTGTTTTAAAAAAAGAAAAGAAAAAAAAAAAGGAGGAGGAGGAGGAGGAGGAGGGGCTTTCCTGTAATATTTTGCATTGAAAAGAGGCATGTTGATGCGGGGAAACATAATATTTAAAAGTAAATGGCTATGTATGTACGCATGTGTATATATATTATATTATATACAAGGAGACATGTATACATATGTATATACATGTACATGCATGCACACAGACAGAGAGGAGGAGAATGAGAAGGACTGACAGACGGAGATGTGCGTGTGTGTATTTATGTATGTTTGGGGCAATAGGGACGTTGGGTGAAGGAAAAGGAAGGAAAAAAGAGGGAAAAAGAAAACAGTAAGTTGTTTATTAAAAGGAAGGAATGGAATATTAATACATGTGTGCATGTGTGTGTCTATGGAGGGGAGTAAACAGTCCAGAGAGTAGAGAGAGTGGAAAAAGAAGAAAAAAAAAGATAAGTGTTAAATATTAAATTTGGAGAGGAGACAAACGTTAAAACAAAAGGGGTGGCGTGTCTCTCTGTGGGAGGGGGGAGGGGATGTCACCTTCCACGCATCCCGACGGTTTTTGTTTTTGGAAGCGGAGATGACTTTTTCTCCCCGCGTGAAAATAATTTTTTTTCTTTTTTTTTTCTTTTTTGTGTGCTGTTGTTTTATCCAAGCACCGGGAGGGAATTTAGGACCGCAGTTAAAAGGGAGAGAAGGAAGACAAACAAACAAACAAGAAAAAACAACAACAACAACGAGGCAAATAAAATGCGGCGTGGCGGTTCATGTCTCACGGTTGAGGGGAAGGCGTTGGGTCCTCTCGGCAGCAGAAGCCCCGTCTTTATTATGCTGGCAATCCTGTTCACACTCTTCACCAACTCGTCAGAGTTTGGCCCCTCCGACGAGGTTGGCACAATCATCACAAGCTGTCCCCGTCCTACGCTGCTGCAGCAGCTGGTGTCATTTGCGGCAATGCGGGATGTGGCGGAGGAGGAGCAGCTTGACTGGGGCGTGCCAGCCACCCTCGGTCGACAGAACACATACAGGCTGCAGGTGAAACCAGCGGAGCAAACCGAGGGGGATCATGCAGGGGAAAATCCGCATGGGAACGCCGCCTCCTCGGCCTCCTCCACGGGAAATGATGTGAACTCTGCGAATGCTCCATCGCAGTCGCGTCGCCGCCCACACCGTCGTCAGCGTCGGAAAAAGAAGACGGAAAGTGAGTCACTAGGGGAAGATGGGGGGACGCCTGTGTCGCTTGGCACGTGCAGCACGAAAAGCCGTAACGGTGCTTCCTCCTCTGGTGGTAGTAATTTGTATTCAAGCGACGTGGGGGAACATGCCGAGACGGTTTTCACCACCTCTCAGCGTCTGTGGGCGCAGTTACACATGGTGGAGGTGGCTTTCAGCTGTGGAGACAATAATTTACTGCACATCACCGAGCGATTTCTGAGGTGCGGGAAAATGTACCCAATTATATACCGTTGTCATCTTTGTCAGGTGCAGGCGGCACATGAACAGGCCTTGCTTGACGCGCCCAATACAGGACTGCAGAAATCTTGTTTCTGGTCATGCCGTTCCTGCGGGAAGGCTCACGAGTTGGTGTGTGAGTCGTGCATGCGTTGTAAGCGCCAATCTGGGCCCTACAAAAAACTTATTTTTGACCAATTACTACCAGAGACAGACTATGCAACGAGCGTCTTGCGTCTGCTACACGCCACACACCCGGAGGTCACTATCCATCGTATTGAGACTCAGCCGCATGTCGACGGGGATGGTCGTAGCAGCGTCGCAGTCTACGTCAGTGCGGATGCGGCCCCCGAATTGGTAGAAAAACTGAACGGAAATGTGTTCTTTGACATGGATGATGATGATGATGAACGTACCGGGGGTGGTGTGCGTGTGCACTACGTGTACGGCTCCCAGAGGCCGTGGCTATGGGCGTTTATCAACATGCGTAAGGCGCAATACAAGGACCCAAATAAACTACCATGGGGGGCTTTGGTGGTGGTGATGGAGACATCCAAAGAGAAAATTTCTGGTGGAACCACGACCAGGGCGTTTCGACCCACACGTACAAAAAGGAATTTGTTTTTAATGGGTAATTAGGCATTTTGGGAGGAGCTCTACGTTGCCAATAAGCTATGGAAACAAGTTGTTACTATCCCCTTTTATTATTATTTTTGTTTCATTGGCTAACTTTCCTTGTTTACAGGCAATACAACAAGGAAGAAATATTTTTATTGCTTGTTTGGAGAGGACAGACGGGAAGCCACCATATATCTATATATATATATATATATATATATATATAATGTATGTATTTATGTATGTTTTCCCAGCAGAGGTACGGATGAATTTTATTTATTATAAATGGGATTATGTATGGACGTGCATTGACCATCAGTCATCCACATGTACATGTATATATATATATATATATATAGGCATAATATATACATTTAATTGTTTCTTTTTCTTATTTTGTTAGTAATTGGGTGATGAGTAAACAGTATGCATGTGTTGATACCCAACGGTGGCCTGCGTTCTTGAGTGTTTATATTTGTTTTTATTTATTTATTAAATTTTTTTTTTTTTTTTTGTGGGCGCATTTACGTGTTTGTCATGTGTTGTTATTAAATAAATATTTTAACAGGTGCTGCTGCAACAGTGTTTATCATTGGCGTGGTGTTGGGATTTTTTATTCTTGTTTTTCTGTTTTTTTTTTTATTTTTTTAATTTCTTTTTTAATTTATTTCTCATTTTGTGTGTTCTGTGAGGGCCGCGAGAAAAAAAAAGAGTGGAGACGGGAGAAGAAACGGGGGACATCTCCAACGACGTCAAAACTGGGAGGGGAGAATGGAGGGGCAAAGTGAACTTGTGGAACGGGTTGTGCGGATGCAGCTGACAAGCCCTGACTTTGCGGAGTACTGCGTGGCGCACGTGACGGATCCAAAACATCGATTTCTTTTCTCACGAAACGAAGACGAGGCGGAGAGGCGGCTGTACGTGAGGCTGCTGGAGGGGCGAGGCCACCAGAAGAGGGCAGAAACACCAGCAGTCGTGGCGCCGGCATCTGCCCCGGGACGAACTTCTTCTTTAATGACGCACGGCGGCACGGCGGTGCTGTGGATGTCGTTGCTGGATTACTTTTCCTCCACGCCTGGTGTACGTGGACCGCACATGCCGCACATGTTTCGTACGGAGGCAGATCTTGCCGCCTTTGTTGACATATTGGACGGCGCCCAACGAGAGCATGTCTCTCTTGAGGATGTCGTGCAGTTTATGCTGCGTCGCCTCCCTATGACGGAGGTGTTCTTGTATGTACTCTGTTACATGTGTGATGTACGTGTACACGAGGTGCGGAGGGAAACGCGACGTCGTAGTAGTGGTGCCTGCGTCACAGATTCCGCGGACGGGGCTTCAGACGACAAGACATTACAGGCAGCAGGGACATTATTATTTATTGCCAACATGTTATTACTGCAGCACGACGCTTTGGAGAGGCCTTTGCGATATCTATCTGTATTTGAATTTTACATGCAGCGGATGGTAGAAGCACTTGCAGGGACGGTGCCGAAGAATTCCCCAGTCGCCACATTTTTACGTGAGACGGTGATGGTCTGGTCGGAGGGTCATGTCTTTGGCGAGGAGGCGCTTGACTGCATGAAGCGGGCCATTGGGTGCTCTTTGGGATAAAAGGGAGGATGAAAAACAGAAGGAAAAAAAAAGAAAAAAGAAAAAGAACAGAAAACGCCCACAAAAAGTCATCACGCGCTCTCCCCTTTTCTGTTTTCTGTTTTTTTTTTTTTCTTTTAAAGTGGGATTGGGAGGGCACATTTTCTTTCAATTTCTTTTCTTTTCTTTTTTCTTTTTTTTTTTCTTTCCCCCCTCCCCCCCCCTCAGTTGCAGACATTTCTCTCTTGCGTCGTATTCAGCGCGCGTCATTTCCTTTTGCCACGGCACGAAAGACAACTTCACAAACGGCACTGTTAGCATCACAGAAGGAAATGACGACAACAGAAACACCGGCGCCGACAAAAGCTCCTGTGGCAGGATCCGCAACAGGGGACTACTACTTTGATTCCTACAGTCATTATGGTATTCATATGGAGATGTTGAAGGATTATCACCGCACGACTTCCTACCGTGATGCCATTTGGCGCAATGCATATCTCTTTAAGGGAAAGGTGGTGCTGGATGTTGGATGCGGCACGGGTATTCTCTCCATGTTTGCTGCAAAGGCAGGCGCCAGGAAAGTAATTGGTGTTGACTGCAGCAGCGTGACAGTACAGGCGCGGCAGATTGTAAAGGATAATGGATTTGAAGGTGTTATCACCATTATTCAAGGAAAGATGGAGGATTTACAGCTTGACGAGAAGGTTGATATCATCATTAGTGAGTGGATGGGGTACTTTTTGTTGTACGAGTCAATGTTAAACACGGTTCTTTACGCACGTGATCGATGGGGCACACCCGATGTGAAACTCTTTCCGGACCGTGCGAACATGTACGCTTGCGGCATTAGCGACCAGCAGTACAAAGAAGAGCGGTTTGACGTCTGGGACGATGTACAGGGCTTTGACTTTTCCTACTTTAAGCGGCTGAGCTACATTGAACCGCTCATAGACACAGTGGACCGCAATCAAATCCTAACCAACATGTCTAATCTTTTCTCATTTAATATTAATACCGTGCAGGAGGCGGAACTTGCGTTTACAAGTGAGTTTGAACTTATCGCAGAACGATCAGGGTGTGTGGATGCGATCAGCGTGCACTTTGACACCCCATTCGCTGCCGGCCATGAGGTGATTGTGCTCACGACGACGCCGCTGGAGGCCCCGACACACTGGCGACAGACGGTGCTGTATCTTTTTAACCCACTACACATGAATAAAGGTGAAAAGGCAAAGTTTCGTATGAGCTGCTGCCCGAATAAAGGCAACCCGCGCGATCTTGACATTGCGCTGCACGTTGATTTTGACGGAAAGCTGCAGTCAAGTCACTACGATCAAGACTTCCGACTGCGGTGAGTGAGTGTGAGAGAAATAGAGAGAGAGAGAGAGAGAAAGAGGTGGCGAGATGCACATAAGATGAGCAAAAAAAAAAAAAAAAAGGAATATATATATATTTATATAAGAAGGGAGGAGATGAGGAATAAAAGTAAAAAAAAAAACACATATATAATAATAATAATAATAATAATATGAAACAACAACAACAACAAAGAAGAAGAAGAAGCGAGTAATACGAGGAAAAGGTGGAGACATGCGCACACACCACACAAACACACACACGAAAGGAGGCAGAGGGGGTGAATTTCCTCTCCCTCTCTCTCTGTGTGTGTTTGTGTGGTGTGTCTCTCTCTCTTTGGATGCATGCATGCTACTATGCGGCTGTGCACGTCTCCATCAATGTGTTACTTCATGTCTCTCTTTTCATGCCGTCTTTTTCCCTCCTTTTTTTTTTTTTCCCCTCCACTTTCCATCCTTTCTTGTTTCCTGCCTCTCTCTCACTCTCTCTGTCTGTCTGTGTCTTTTCTTATGCGTGCACCGCATGAGTTTGCAGCAACACCCATTAACATCTGCCGGGTCGAAGACCTTGTGCGAGAGTCACAGGGCGAATTAAATGCGGTCGAATGAGCGGCATAAAAGGCGCAGTTCCGCACGGAATTGGGCGGCTCCCTGTTCCGCCTCCGCCTCATTGCGGCAGGGCACTTCACAGCAGCAGGCGTCACAAACGCCACCAACGCCATCGAAGTCTTTGTTTATGAATATTGTATCCGCACATGCTAGCAACCATGATGGCATCACGCATGCGAGCAGCACCGATGCAGTCTCGAGGGTTGTGTTCTCAGCCACGGGGATAAAGAGCGAGACATCAGCCGTATCTTTCTTAACGCACGAGGCGGGGAAGGAGCCTGCAGGAACACGTAAGAAAAGCACTGACACGTCAGTGAACAATCATAGTAGCAACAATAATGGTGCAGTCAGCACTTCCATCAAGAGCAATAGCAATACGAACAACATGAGCGGCTTGCCACTTCGACAGAAGTCTTTTGTTCCGTTGGCGTCCCCGCGACTGGCGAAGATGTCATTCACACGGAGTCATGAAAGAGCAGGGTCGAAGGTGCGATCACTGGCATCGATTGCGGTATGCAAGACGGAGAGAGGCGTTGGGAAGGAGACGGCACAGTCTGGGAATGAGCAGGCACGCAAAGAGCAACGCCGACGAGAGCTATACGCATGGAACAAAGAACTGCGATTGCGGCAGCAGACGACAGTGGCTGTGGATGCGGTGTAGAGGAAAAAAAAAAAAACAAAACAAAAAAAACAAAAAACAAAGAGAGAGGAGCTTCTTTCACTTCTCCTTTTTCTTTTTGTTTTTGTTGTTTTCTCTTTAATTTCTACTGGTAGACTTGTCTGATCAAAAATTTTTTTTTTTTCTTTATGTACGTGTTATATGCATGCATGCATACAGTTATATCTATCTATCTATATATCTATATATAAAACCGTATCTGTGTCTCTGTGTGCGTGTTTCTCCCTTTTTCTTTATGGTGGCGTGCTGAGAGATGTGGAGTGTTGTCTTCGGAATCCCACCGATTTATTTATTTATTTATTTATTTTTTTTAAATGTTTCTGGAATTTGTCCTCTGCCGCTCGCTGTGGTGCGTGTGTTTTGACTGCATTGCCCTCCAATCAACAAAAAACGAACAAAAACAAAACCGGAAATTAAAAGGAGCACTGCACGGTGAAGAGAAGGGGAAAAAGAGAGGTTAGGGGGGAGGGGGGCCTGACTGCATGAGTGCAACGCCCCCGGATACGGCGGGCAATTACTTCGACATGCTCGTGAACAGCGACCCACGTGTGGCCTTTGACGTGCTGCACATCGGTGTCTTTTCCACCATTGAGGAGGAGATGGGGCGTCAATCCCTCAGCTCGGCATCGAGCTTCGGTGCGATGAGAAGAGCCAAAGCCGTGGGCGAAGGGAAAAACGCTCGTTTTGTGATACCGACGCACCAACCGGCGCTTGACGAGAGAATTCCACAGCCGCAGGATGTGTTGGCTGTGTCTGCCCTTCTTCGCTCCTCTTCTCCATCTGCATTACGGGAGGCGTTGGGGCCGGCGGTGCTGCATGTGGTGCAGAAGTATCGTCCCCAAGTACTGCGAGAGGAACGACAACAAAGACAGCGACATGAGGATAAGAAGCAGGAACAGGAGGAGGTGGTGGAGGAGGAGGAGGACGACGACGACGAATCTCATGCACGTGATGACACCACATTGGACGTGGCAGAGGCATGACAATGGATGATACGGCAGCGCCGTACGGCGAGGGTGGCGAATAAAGAGGTGCATGAAGGAAAGAAGCGTAGGACAACCAGCCTTTTTCTCAAAAGGGCTTTCCCTCTCTTTTTTTCTTTTACTCTTCCTGTAATTGTGAAAATTCACTGCTTTTTTTCTATTGTCACTGTGAGTTTCTAGAGGTCTTTTTTTCTTTTCTTCTTTTGTTTTTCTTACACATGCACACAAACACACACATGCACGGCTGCAACATTTGCAGTTGTCGTTAAGTTATGGAGGAACTACGCGTGCGGGGTAACGCTCTCTTTTCCAGCGACCCACGTGCTGCGGCAAATTTGTACCAGGAGGCCCTTAGCGTGTATGAGACATTGAAGGATAAATCAGCTGCACTTGAAGAGTACACAAAGTGCGCTGGCAACGCACTGACATGCCTCTTCAAGGTGCAGGAGTACGACACGTGTCTGACGCTTGCAGAGAAGGTGTTGCAATGTAACCCATTAATTGCCAAAGCGTACGCCGTTATTGGGAGATGTCTTTTACTGCGACCGGCCTTTACGTTACCGCTGCATGGGGACCCATTGCAGTACTTGTGCCGTGCCGTCCACTTGTCACCGTCCATGTGTGAAACAATAGTTCCGTTTATGGATGAAGCGCTTGAGCGACTTCTACACGAGTGTGACACGCTGCGTGACGAGGAACCCTGCATTGAGGTGCAACAAGGGGAATGTGGAAGGTGTGTCGTGGCGGCCTCCCATTTGCCTCCCCTGTTGGTTGTGAGCTCCACGTTGCATCCGTTTTCTGTGTGCTCTTACGAGGAGACGAGGTCTGTGGGTTTGTGTGCACACTGTGGCGTGGTCGTCATGCCTGATGATGGCGAGGAGCCTACCGCCGCGTTGCGGACATGCCGCCGCTGCCAGTTTGTGTCGTACTGCTCCGACAGGTGTGCCTCCTGCCATGGCCGCCAGCACGAGGAATACGAGTGTCGACTGCTTTTTCGGCTGAGGGAGATGCTGGGGTCGATGCGGAGTTGTGAAGCGGCGGTGCCGGACGACTTTTTCACTATGGCGACGCACTGCATCACGACCGTTAGTGGCGTGAAGGTGCGCAAGGAGGGGCATGAGGCGGTGCTGCGGCTGGAGAGCCACGAGGTCGAAGTGTCGCAGGGACTCACACCGCTTGTGCGTCTTGTCCAGGATTTGTTTAGCGGGGAGGATCCCACATTCGTCACCCGCATTCTCGGCGTCGTACGTTGCAACGCGCTTGCGGTCTGCGATGCATCCGGTCTTCCTGTCGGCCAGGCGTTGCACGCGGCAAGTGTTACGTCGTACTTCAACCACTCGTGTTTGCCGAACTGCGCGATCGAGGCAGGTGCGATTGTGACAACGCGTGCCATCAGGCCGGGCGAGGAGCTCACCATATCATACCTGCCGCA